GTTATGCACAAAGCAGTATTGGCTAGGATGGATGAATGCATGCAAATCAATCTTAGAATACTGCACTATGATGATGCAGTCACTTAGTCTTACTGACCAATGTGTACCGTAAATTAAGACTAGGATTGTGGGTGAATCAAGGTGCTTTGCGTCACCATGTGCTCGTCAGAGCATTTTTAATTAGGTTTTACTCTTCGGCTGAAATATTGGGGGAGTGTTCTTCTTTAAAATATGAATATGGTCTTCATCTCAGGTCATTTACAGTAAATGACAGGGTGAAGGAAAGGGGAAAATGATTTCCTGCATCTATTACTGAAAAACCCACTTCCCCTAGAAGAGTAGACCTTGCAGTGCATTCCTCTGTTGCGGTACCTCTAAGGTTTCCTGTGTCAAGACACGGCAGATTACTGAAGTATGAGATGAGAACGTTTGCTTTTAGTGTGCACAGTAGATACCTGCACCTAGGTCATCATTATTGTGTTGGAAATAAGAGAAATCTGAGAAAAATCAAAATTTCTGTTTCTGCCTCTTTGTACAGACAGCATTCCTGGTTGTGGAAGTGTGCTAAGCACTTCTCAATTGCTCAGATGTTTATCCTAAACTTGGGACTGAGGATATCTGCTGAGCCTTGTTAATTCAAAATCCTTGCCACTTGCCACTTATATAAACTTTAGCAAATCGTTGTCTGTCTAAATGGAAGGTTGTTTTATTTTTCCTCTTCTTTTGGGATGTGAAACCATCTGGGACAAACCAGAAACATGGGTTTCGAAATGAAGTAATCCTAGACCTACAGAAGATCAGCTGCTGAGACCAATAAGTGTCTCTTATACTGTATTCCATCCTGGATTTAAGGTCTGTTTGGATGTGTAGTCACATTTAAGATGCTGAACAATAGGTTGCATCAAGCTTCTGAAAAAGCAACCCTGAAAAAGGCTTGTGGGAGCACAGTGGTGCAATGGTTAACATTGTTGTCTAGCAGCACTTGTGCCCTGAGTTCGCTTCTCAACCTGCAGTGCTGTCTGTATGGTGTTTGTATATGCTCCCCATGTTCACGTATATATCCTCAGGGTGTTCCAATTTCCTTCCAAGCCTCCAATTAACATTCCAAGACTTACTGGTATGTTAATTGGCTTCTGGGAAATTTGGAGTGCACCATTGTGTTTGTGTCTGTCTGCCCTGCAATGGACTAGTGTCCTGTCCAGGGTGTATCCTGCCCTGAACCTGTTGCTTGCTGGGATAGACTCCAGCTTCCCCCTCACCCTATATTGGACTAAGCAGTTAGAAAATTGATTAATGACTAGAGTGTTTATAAGTTAAAAGAAAAGAAAAAATATTGGCAGCCCTTAAAGTCTGTGCAAAAAAAATATACTCATCTTTAGGAGGTGTTACCCCTATATTAGAGGGTTAAACACAAGTCTTGGCTACATATTATAAATTGAATGGCCATTAGGTTATTTTGAAAGATACAGTATGTCTCAAGGTTTCATTTACAATGCACTTCTGACAGGAGACCTGATTCCTTGTGTGTTTGTGTCCTGATCATTTAACTGAAACTGTTTTTTTGTTACCTCTTCAGGTTTCAGGTTGTTGATGTGTTTGTGTCACTGGCGGTTGTTTTTGAGACGCAAACTGCAACTGTATTTCTCTATTCATTGGTGATTTACTTTAAAGAAGAACCATTGCTTTCAACTGAACAACCACTTCTTTATTGTTAATTTAACCACCATCTTTATCCAAGGCAGCTTCCACTCTGGACAGTAAAAAAGTGCAGAAATTGCATAAAGCATAGTGGTATGGAATCTGACAATGCATTAAATCCTACAATACTGTACATTTATCTATATAATTGTTTAATGTGTGGAAATACAGATCTTTTACAGGCCGTGATCTGAGGGCATCAGTGATCTGTATTCTTGAAACATCTGGGCTTTGAGATTCATAGATGATCTAATTAGGTGCTGAATTGAACAAATTTAACATTTTCCAGATGTCGGGCAGCTAATCTATTCAAGATGAAAGCCATGCAGAACCAGCAGGAGTGCATTGCTGAATCTCTCTATCGGCCAGAAGAAAGGGCTGAATCAAAACAAAGCAGAAGGTTTGGAGTGAGGGCGTAGGTAAGTTGCAAATGGGTTCGAAAAGTCAGTTCAGTCTTAGGCTTTGACAAACAAACTCCAGGAAATCCTAAAATGCCTTACACAGATCTGCAACACAGAGTTAGAACGACAGGGGAGCATTCTTAAAAGAATGTCAGCTAATTGAAGGTTCAGTTAACTGGTCAAATTCTAATTATAATGCCATGAATATAAAGGGACCTTTAGGCTGTCCATTAGGTTAGGTCTGTTAATACCCACCTCACTGGACGGAATGAATCAGGGAGGCAGCTGCAAGGATGAAGATGGGATGGAGGGAGGGGTGCTAGAAAAAAATGTACAGCAGATGAGTATTTATACACAAGAGAGCAGAAGCACGGGAGTATACAATTTGACCACTGCCCAGACTTTTGTTTAACAGTCCCCTGAAGTGTACTCAGTGGCACCAGTGAAGCAATTATGGACTTTGTCTGCCTTGGAAAACTACAGTGCTCTGACTCTGTTGTATGGCTGTGATCTACTGCATGTGGTTCAGTTCTTCTTGTATACAACTAACGAGGAATATCGTACATGAAGTACCATTACTCATAAAGAGGGGCTGCATGTCGTTACCACAATCTTGCACATTTCTGTGCGTTCTGAAATTAGTTGGCACAACTCTAAAAGCAACAAAGATACAGCCTTTATGTAAAAACAGGCACACAGCATTGTGTAAACAGCAGTGTCCAAAGAGCAACGCCTCTGATGATCAGATAAATGCTTTACCGGCACAGTATGCTCAGGCTCATCACACATTAAAAGCTTTTGTTCAGACACAGGGGCGTCTATTGAATTTTTTTTCCAACCAGCTTCAGGGGGGAAAAAGTGTTTTTTCAGACTTCAGATTCAAAGCAGGTTGTGTTCACTGTCATTGTATAACCTCCTTGTTTGAGCCAAAGAGTTTGTAGAGACATGGAAATTTCTCTGGAAACTCGTGCAGTTACAATATCAGCAGAAATCTTTCTGCTAACAAGAGGCTGCTTAAAAATGACTGTGTGACCGACTTTATTGCCTGAAATTCAATCCAAGAAAGAAGAGGAAAATGATCATCTATTCATAATTCCATCAATCTTCTAAACTGCTTTATCCAGTACATGGTCGCAGGTAAGCTGGAGCCTAACCAGGCAAGCAATGGGCACAGGGAAGGATACATTCTAGACAGGACGCCAGTCCATCACAGAGTGCACACTGACACAAACACACACACTCTCCGGGTCCTTTTTTATTGGTGTTTTGTGTTGCTTGTAAACCTCATCTAAGATTTTAACATGATATTAATTCAATATTTCAGAGTCGGTGAATCTCTTCCTGCAGGTAAGTAACAGATAGCTCTGAGAAACCCTCATCATGCTTTCATGATTTAGATTAAGTCATAGGACTGATCTGAAATATGGAGAGAAGATTTAAGAGAGAAAAAACATGAGGAAGAAATTGAAAATGTTTGTAGCTCCTTGGCTCTGTGTGTTTTGGCCCAATTCTAAAACCGCCGGAGACCTCAGTGTTCCTGGGATATTAATCTTACACACTGCACTCTTCACAGGAACGTAGGACAATTTATCATGCGTTTCCACAGAAATCAGTTTCGGATTTAAGCTGCACTTCCACTCCCAGCTTCACAGTGTTTGACTTTATTAAGAGAAATTAAATAAATATCTTGCTTTTCAATCTGGGCCTCTCGAACCGCTTGCTGAAAGTATAGCTTTAAGTACATGAAAACATAAGGTTACGAATGAGAGACAGACATTGGTCCGTTTACCTCATATGCCTGCTAGCAGGCTATATCTCCCAACCGGGTAAAACTCATTCCCCAACCCTTTGTGTGAGGAATGCATCATATGGCATGATGGCTCATTTTTCTCCCCACAGCAGTGAGCCCCTGAAATATGAGTGGCATTCTCATCTGCAGCACCCGGCTTTATGCAGGAATCTGCAAGGTTCTCCCTATGGGACACGGAGCTGCGCGGCCCATCTGCTGTTGTCTGTTCGCACTGACCCAGTGAGGGGAGAGCCCACCCCCCAGAAAGACTGCGGGTTCTCCTGACATTTCCGCACCCCGCCACCGGGCCGCGCTTGACACAACTGACACAAACATCGACACGGGCTTGTATTAGGAGACGGGGTTTGGTGAAGAAGGTGAAGGTAAAGAAACGTCCGTACAAACGGGAGGCGGGACTGTAGCCCAGGCGGTGTTCATGGCTTTTAAACCCACTTCAGAAGGGCACCGCATTGGTGTAACTGAGTAACAGAACAGCGCACTGCTCTCCGCTGCCTCCAAAATACACTTTCAGATGGCAGACAAATAGCCTTTCCTCAAGCCTCGAACAGGACTTGGCCGGTTACATCTCAAAATGCAAGGGGCATTTCTCTTCCGCTGCTGGATTCACTGCTGGCGTCAAAACGGCAGGGAAGAAAAAGAAAGCTCAGAAATGTGCACATCCCTTTTTCTGACGTCCTTGCTGCGATTTCCCAACGCGATGGCACTGGTACATTAAAAAAAAAAAACTGTTTCCCTTATGCAATAACCAAAAAAAAAAAAAGAAAGGCAGCCGTTCTCTCCGTGCACAGACAGGGGCTCATCCGGCCGCTGCAGCTGACAGACTGTAGGTCTCCCGACGAAACGGGAGCTGGGCGGACCGTCCATCCCAGAGCACTCGCTCCCGGCGCGCATTGCCCGGGCCCAGAGTCCCAGTCCGGGACGGGTCTCGAAGCGCTGTATTGTGATCGTAAGAAGAGCCCTCCCCTCCTCTTTCCACCCTCTCGCTGTCGGAGCCGCGCACACACACACACGCAGCGCATCCGCTTCGCTCCCCCATTGACGTCAGCGACCCACCACCTGACCGCGCCGAGACCAACCAGCGCCGCGCCTGGCTTCTGCAATCTTTCACCAAGTGGCTCGCTTCACCGCCGCCGCCGAGGAAAGAAAAGACACCAACCTTGCGAATAAAGCAGCAGAGAGGAAGACCCGAAGACCGTCTTATTTTTTCTTTTTTTTTCCTCCCCCTCAGATCCTTTTTTTTTTTTTGTTGCTTTCCACCTCTTCCCACTGGATCTACCGTTTTGCAGCCTCGCGTTATGGATACTATCATGGTACTGGCGGACTGATTATCCGGGGGGGAGCGAAAAGCAGGGAGGAAAGAAATTTAAGGGGAATCTGTTGAGAGATTGGACCACAGTTGTCACCCCCCCCTCCCTTTCCCTTTCCCCCTTTCCCCTTATTTTTCCTCTCTCTCTCAGTTTTCTCCTTTTATCTCTTTTCTCTCTGTCTGTCTCTTCTCCCCCTCCACCTGACACATTTCACCCAGTTCCTGGGTCAGCTGCTCGTGGGTTGGAGAGCCATCCATCCGCGTTTCTTTAACCCCGGTTCCCCATTGACCGGCGGCTGGAGCACCCATGGATTTCAATAGCGGATCGGGTGGGGGCAGCGATCTCCACAACAATCGCCAGTACCAGTCGGAGGAGAGCAAGCCCTTGCTGGGCGAGATGTCCGCCCTGGGTCCGGCGGACGGGAATAAAATGGGGGCAGTACCCTGCCGGAGAGCCTTGCTCCACAGTAACGGGATGAGGTATAAATTGCTCCAGGAGGGCGATATCCAAGTGTGCGTCGTCAAACACCCCAGGACCTTTTTTAGCAAGATCCTCAGTTCCAAGTTCTTGAGGAGATGGGAGCCTCATCACCTGACCCTCACGGACAACAGCCTGACCTCTGCTACAGTGAGTACTGCATTGCTCCGAAAGGGCATTTCTTCATTCCCGGCAGCCAGGCTGGACGTGAGTCCATCAGTAGCATTTCCTTGGGTCGGTGCACTTGCTCAGAAAGGCTCAATTACCTGCAACAGACCGTCACCGGGCTTTTGTTTTTTCGCCTGCCGTGCTTGTGCGAAAAAAAAAATAGCTTGATTTTGTTGTTGTTGTTGTTGTTGGTGTTGTTGTTTGTGGGTGCTACCTTAATACGAATAATTATGCGGAGGTATCGCCTAGACGTTACACATTTTCGTTCGTGTTGCACAGTAATCGGGAAGAAAATTCACTCATTTTCATTTGTGAACACCCCGCACCCATTGTGGGGAAAACGGGAGCTGAATTCGCTCGTGTTTAATAGTTATTTGTTTATGTTTAAGCTTGAAAACCAAAACGTTTTGTTTATGTATATATATATATGTGTGTGTGTGATATGAGGGATGGGGGTTACTGGAAGACATTTTCTGTCTTAGCGGAAGATGGGGTATTCGGCCTGGTTTGTATTACAATGTGAAGTCGCAATTGAAGGTGGCGGACAAGTATCACAATTAGCTCATTTAGACGGCAGTGATGTACCAGAGTTTACTGGGGTATATTTAAAAATAAACACCTTTTTGTTTTTTAATATTGACAAACCCAAATGTTTAAAATTGCTGTCGAACGGTAAGAGATCATGCGGTACAGTACAAGATGAGACGCACGATTGCAACAAGTTTTATATACTGTAATCTTCGGTTATTGCACTATGCTGATCTCTGTTTCTGAATGTGGCTGAACACGGATAACGCCAAAAGACAGAACCAGTGATTTCATTTCCTGGATTTTTTTTTATTTATTTAGAAATGCAACATGATGGTGGCGGGGGTAAATCAGATTTCTGCTGTTGAAGCAATCTGTCAGTGAAGCATGTTGACCGGAGCTGGGAATTGTGAAAGCAGAGATTTGGGACACATCAGGTGGCCTGCTGTTGTATATTAATATAATGGATACTGATACTGGTTTCAGTGGATATGTTTACAAATATCTCATTAAATAAACAAATATGTTTACAAATCTTTCGTTCTAGGAACAACATTGCTGCGATTAAACAGGGAAACGTGGCGTTCACAAATGACAGCCTTCCACAAGTCTTCACTGCTTTAGTGACTCGGTTTAGACGTCTAAATTTGTCACGACAGGTGAAATTAGCTTGGAGATTGTCACAAACTGACGTACCTCTATTTTTGCGAAAGTTGTTTCATCACTATTGATGCCAAAACCTGGGTTTTTGGATTCAAGTGTTAAAAATCCTTAAAGGCAAAGACCACTTAAGGGGCTCCTTCGGGGTCGACAGCGAAACACGAACCGAGTGGAAAGCGCACTGCCGCTGTGGTTAACCCTGAATCTGAAAAATGAGGCACTTTTTACACAAAGAGTGGTAGGAGAATGGAACAAGCCATGTGTCAAAACAGATACTCTGGCTTCTTTCGTGAAACTGAGATTACTCGGTTACTTGCAACCAGGTGGTCTGAATGATCCCCCTCTTACTTAAAACCTTTAGGTTCTTTAATATTTGGTTACCTTTTTTTTCACCTTCCACTAAATAAATGCCAAATTCATTGCTTTATTGTGAAGATGTTAGGCTTGCAAGTTCTGTTTTACTACCCTTCCCCATGCACCCACATAAAAAAAAAAATTCATTTAGAGTAAAATGCGCTCTGACGTGCATAGAGTCCCTGGGTCTGAAATTCTTGTTCTGACTTGTGCTTGATGCCTTAGAATGTACCTTGAAGTGGGATACATAGTCTTCCGTCTGTGCAAATGGGGCAGAGACAGAACATGGGGTGAGTCGTTCTGTATACAGTATGTACTGTAGATACCCTCAGTAGGACAGCCCAATTCCAGTCCTCAGCAGCTGCTGTCCAGTCAGATTTTATAGGCCTCCTTAAAGCTCCAGCTTCTTCAGAACAAGGGAAGACTTCAGCTTGCCAATTAAAGCAAATAATGAGCTCAGCTAGGTAATTAAGGGCTCAGGTGACAGAAAGCCAGACACCCCGAAAAAGGCTCAACAGCCAAGCTGTTTTTTCACCTTTTTGATTCTCAGCATGGAGTTAACCTTTACCTGTCCCCGTGAGTTCAATTAGCTGGTGGCAAGACAACGAGAATCCCTCTGGCCCTCCAGGACGGAAGCATTGCTCTCTTGACCCACAGATAAAAAAAGAAATAGTGGTAGTGTATTACAGGCAGCAATACAACATGCCCATTGCAACCCCAAGCACAAAACTGAGCATGCATAAACACACCTGGTGTGGCAGCTGTGTGGAAGAGCAGAAGGTGATTCTTGTGTGCCTGCACACACCAGGCTCAGGTTTGGGAAGGCTGGGATGCCCTCTCTTGTTCCTGGAGGGATAGTGTGTCTGTGGATTTGTCAGGTCTCTTCAAAGCACCAGCACCTGGAGAACTGTGTGAGGTTGTTAAACTGGCCAAGTTAAAAACAGAAACGAGCTTATTTAGATTAGGAGCTGATGTGCAATGAAAAGCTGCTGATTAATAGCATTTCAGAGAGTTTTGGTTTTGAGATAAGGTTTCAAGATGCAGTGAAGGATTTGTGTGGGCAGCTGCCACACCTTTTTAAACTCGATGAAATCATGTGATTCATTGGATTCCCTTTAATTCAAGGAATATGCTTTAAAATTTCAGTCATTTGTGAGCTCAGTACTTCTGTGAATATGAGGGTGTATTAGATGTTGTTTTGATCTACATAATAAGAACAACAACCTTCAATTTACAGAGAATCTTTAAAAGCCCAACCAAAAACTTAAATAGAGGTCTCCACTGATTATAAGCCAAAGTGGAAAAGTGTTTTTTAAAAGAGTTTTAACCACCGTTGCAGTCAAAATCTTCTCTTTTTCCTGATATTTAGAATAGTCTTGGGGGCAAACTGTAAACCAATAGATGATTAATGTGCAGAAGAGCAGAGCCTTGTATGTGCTGAACTCAGTTCAGTGTTTTGAAGCTTTGGAGGAAAGTTAAATGACTGCCTATGTTCTTTTTTAGCCTCAAGAAGGGCAACTCATGTTTGAATAAATAGAACTGAGTGTTGCATATTTTTTTTAAAATAGCAGCACAAATTTCTTTATAATTATCTGGTCCCTAGAAGATAAGAGCATTTACTGTTTTCTCAGCTTTGGATGAGCAAAGAAAGTCTTTGTTACAGGCAGCAGTTATAAAAGTCAACTCTGTCACGTTGATAATGTGAGACCCCAGTGGCAAACCAAGCCACTGTGTTTTGGACCCGGTTAGGAGATTTGATATCAGTGCCATCAGCTGAAAACTGCAGTTATTCGGTTATTTCTTACATTTTTAGGATTTCCATTCTCCTCCTAAAAGCTAAGCAGCTCGTGCAGCACGACGTATAGCATAGTTTATGGGTTAAGGGGATATATGATTATTTTTTTATCAACTGGTAAGGCTTAGGGGTTAATGTGTAAAGTTATTTTCAGAATATTTTGAATTCAGTAAGTAGTGAAAAAAGGTTTGGTGAAGCAGACAGAAGTTTTTGTTATTCTAAGATTTACTAATGGGAAGTGGTCAGTTCCCTGCTTCATCCTGGATTTGTTTCTGCTGTTGGTGAAAGGGTTTTTGGGTCTTGTTAGGGCTGTATGTCAGAGCGTTTGGGAGATGCCAAGAACTAAATGACTGTATAGCTCAAAACCATGTGGTGAGTCAAGTGAAACCAGTACATTCAAAGCTCTTCTATCAGTTTGTAGGTCACAGTGTCTGTGGGAACCTCTGTAGCTCTGTGTCTTCTGTCAAATAAGGCAATCAGCTGTAGACTAGTTGTTGTGATGCTCTGTGGCTGTATTGTGTAGAAGAATCAATGTCGCCGCTGTAATTCAAGTCAAAGCGTTATAGCACTATTCTGTCTTTATTAACAGGCCTCAGAAGCTTATATGGAGGGTGTATCATTGAGCTGTTCACTGTGAAAAGTTTACTCCACAGTAATTTGTAACTTCTATGGTAGTCTGGGGGAGTTGTGGCTGTTTGCGGGGGGATTTTCCGTCAAGTGGAGTTGTTCAACAGAATTTCAGGAGCTGGTCCAATTGCGATCTCACACTTTCGCTCTCATAATTATCGGCACTCGCCTCAAGAGCAACCTTTGCATTGCGTCTTTTCTCACACCGAGCTGGAGGTGTGTTTTCCGTGTCTCGTCTCGTGGGCGCGAGCGACCGCACACAGGAGCGAGAGAGAGAGAGAGACTCCTCCAGCCCTCCCACACTCGAGTCGCTCGGCTTTTGGCACTTCGCGGGCTCTGCACTAGGGGAGAGATGCGTTAGTACCTGCAAGCTCACAGGAGGCTCCGGAGCTCAGTGTGAGGAAGCCCTAGCTGACTAATCCCACCCCACCCTAGCCAGTGCTCCGCCAACTGTGTGCCGCCGTTTGGGGAATCCTGGTCAGCTAGTGACGGGATCCAGGCCCAGCCTCGTGATCAAAGCGCTCAGCGTGCACTCGGCCAAGTGCCTTTATCGTTTGAGTCACCTGGGAGGGAGGCTGAGTGTTCCGCTCGTCTTGGAGTTCTGGGTGCTCCGACTTCAGAGCTGCGGCCTTCTGTTGAGCTCTTGATCTGATCGCTTCTCCACCCCACACGTGGAGGGACAGACTTGTTCGTGCAGCGTTGGGCGGTTTAAAATAAAACTGGGTCTGTTTTTCAACAAGAAATGGCACTTTAACATCAAGTAAAAGATGTGGCTAAACCCGTCCCCTTGTCATAAAAAAGGAGATTGCAGGTGGAATTAAACTGGAGACAGAGAGGTGACAGATGGCATGGTGCTGCTTACCCCTACAGATACAGTATAAAGAATAGCATGATTTTTTTAAAGAAAGGGTGTGGGGTTGTGGTGATGCAAGTAGGAAAGAGTCCTATTCCTGCAGAAGGGCCCAACATTTTTTTTACAGTAGCTATAGATTGCTCTTTACAGTGACGTGCTTTCTTA